GAGAAGCAGGCTCCCAAGGAGCAGGGAGCCCGATGTGGGACTCGATCCCAGGACCTGGGATCATGACCTGAGCCGAAGGCAGACGCTTAACCATCTGAGCTACCCAGGCGCCCTCTGGTCACCTTTTTAATGAATAAAAACTTGACAGTATTCTGTAAAATACTAATTTGAATAGTATAAAAATAACTTTTTAAGAGGTTGTTTATTAAATTTGAGAAAGAAAAATTCCAGGAACATTAAGAATAAAGAGTACTTCAGGCCACTCCTGTCCGTGCCCTCCCTTCTTGCTTTGATTTACAGGTCTTTGAAGAGCAGTTCTATAATTGCTGGTATTCACTGGAGGCAGTGCCTAGGTAGGCACTCTTGGTTACTGCATCACAAGGAATGGCAGGTAGTAGAAAAGAGTTCTGGCTTATCTTGATCCAGTTTGTGCAGTAGTAGGAAACATTTTCCCACTTCTGTTTGTAGGCATGGAAAATTAATTTGATTAAGCAGTTTAAAGGTTGCTGAAAGACATGTAGTTATGTCTACTTTAAAATTCCTTGAGTGACTGAATGCTGATCATTTAAAAAATGGTTTTTAGATTTGCAAGTGCTGCATAAAACCTTGAGAAACTTACATCTCTGTTCAAGAATATAACACTTGATCTAAAACAATTCTTGTGTGTGGGAGTTAAGTTTTTATTCATACTTAGGAGAGATGAGCAAATACTCCTAAAATCTTCTGTAACTTTTCCCATGAGCTGTTTGTTGTTGTTAAGTTACTCAGGTATCTTGATCTTTTCTAAACTGTATTAATTCTGTTTTCTGAATTTTACGTGTACTATGAGCTCCTCTCTAATTCTGTCCATCTTGGATCGTTTAGTAACATGACATCTGAAAAGATTAAATCAGTTACTTAAAACATGGCACCATTTTAATACAATGACAGGGAAAAATAAATTCAGGAGATGCCTACTTTGGTTTTCGCCCTGGCTAGTTATGGTAAGGGTTACATGGAGAATCAGGCCTATGTGTTAAGGCAAATCAGGTTTACAGTGTCAGCATTGAAACATACAGTGTTCTAGATTGTTAAATGACAAAATGAATAGTAAAGCAAACAAATACTTAGAAAAGTGAAAGGTGACTATAAATCAATTACACACAGAGGTAAAGACTTACTATGACTTTAGGTTGTCACTTAACATGAATGAAGTCATTGATCATAGTGGAAAATGGAATGACAGAGTGAATGGTTCAACAGAACCCACTGCTACTTTGAGAAAAGAATTTTTCTCCTTTAAAGGACAGAAGTCCTATAGAGTAGTTACAGTCTTTTTCTTCGTAGTGCCCCATTGTCTAGTAACACACAGTTTTGGTATCTGTACCAGACCAACTCTCAGTGTGCTGGGGGATGATTAGTTATTACCCTTTATACCAAAGAATATTTATAAATTCATTAGTTGTATATATTCATGAAAATGAAGTAAAAATGTTTTTAAAGGATAGCTTCTATTGCAGATGTATATTACTGCATTATCTAATTAATTTTGTACGAGAACATTTCCATTTTAAAAATAAAGTTTCCAAAATGAAAATTAAAAGGTATGTGTTTCCAAAGAAGTTATTAAGTTTTTTGGGTTTGGTCTGGGTTTTAATGATGGTCACTTTCTTTTGCAGTGGAATCAAATACACAGCCTCTGTCATTCGCTTCTTTGAGAGGCAGTCTAAATCTAGGCTTTAGGAGGTAAGATAATTACCTTATAATGTTCTTTGCCTGATTTCTCCTGTTTTTGTGACCTGCTATATAAGGAAAGCTATAGATATTCTTATCTTCCAAATCTTCCAATATACCAGTTTCCTAAAATAACCTTATCTGTGTTACTCATCTACCAAGTAGTTGACTTGAGTGTAGGCAATCTTTTATATCATCTTTTCCAAGAAATACACACAAATTTGGTTAAAAGTTGTGTTTCAAAGAAGAAAGCACTGTTTGGAAATGGTGGGTTGGAGTTACAAAGTTGTATGTGTGTTTGGTGTTTTGAGTATTTAATTTCAAGGTAACTTTAGTCAGTGTAATACTGCTGTCTTCCTCTTTCCTCTGTGTGCTCAAGGGATGTTAGTGACCTTTTTCCTTCTCAATTTTGTCTTTTTTTTTAAAAGATTGATTATTTATTTATTTATTTATTTGCGATAGAGGAAGAGAGAGCTCGTGCCCATGCATGAGTGGGGGACAAGGGGAGGGGCAGAGGAAGAGGGAGCAATAGGCTCTCCACTGAGCAGGGAGCCTGACGCAGGGCTCGATCCCAGAACCCTGGGAGTATGACCTAAGCCAAAGGCAGATGCTTAACCGACTGCACCACCCAGGCGCCCCTCAGTTTTGTTTTTTTGAAAATATTCAAACATAATGAGTCGAAAGAATAGTAAAGGAAACACCGTACATACCCTTTATGTAGATTCACCATTTTTGATATTTTGCCATATTTGCTTTCTCACTTTTTCTCTAATATATACACACACAAGCACATACGTATATACACTTTTTTCTTTTTTGCTGAACCACTTGAAGTTGTTGACATCATGGTACTGGATCCTTCAGCTTCTCTCTCGTAAGAATAAGGTCATCATGTATATAATCACAAACCAGTATCACTCCTAAAATACTAGCAATATTATAATATCATCTAATATACATAGCTAATGTTTAGATTGTCTTCTAAAAATCTCTTTTATAGCTGTTTTACTTTTTGATTGAGGATTCAATAATTACATGTGTTCCATGTGGTTGCTGTCTCTTTATTAATCCAGAACAATTCCCCTACCTTTTTGTGGTCTTTATGACGTGGACTTGTTTGAAGAGTCCAGGCTGCTTTCTCTGTAGATTTGTATTCATCTATTTTTTTCTCATATCAGATTCAGGTTGATTATTTTTAGCAAGAATACTTGATAGGTGATGGCATTTCCTACTGCAGCAAGAGATATAATGGTGGTGCCATCAGCTAAGTTTGATCATTTGGTTATGCTGGTGACCACCATGTCTCTTGGAAAGGAACCTCATTCCATTTGGGATTAGTAAGAAGTCTGTGGGATGATACTTAGCGACAGTGGGTCTGTCCTGCTCAGTGGTTTTAGCAGCCATTGGTAATCTTGTTGAATCGGGTGTTTACAGTGGTAGCTACAAAAAGACGAGTTTCTCCTTTTATCATTCTTTTTGTAATAATGTTAATGACTTCTGATACTAAAAATCTCAGTAGTTTTTAGCCTGTTCATTGGTGGGAGCAGTAGGGTTTTCTGTAGACATCTCCAGAACCTCCATGGCAGGCAAGGAGGGGTAGAATAGGTCGGTGGGATTCTGTGTTACTGCCCTTTCTTTAGCCAGTTCAGTTCCACTCTTTTCAGGGATAGTTTTGTGTTGGGTTAAAAAACAAACAGACCAAGGACTGTGCCTTTAAAAATAAAGTTTGAAAATACAGAATACATAATCAGGTGGGTAAAAATGCTAGTAGAGCCAGATTTTTAAGAAAGAACCCATAAAAATAATTAAGAACCTATAATATATTATGAAGTGAAGCATAGTAACATTGTCATTTGATTGTCCTTGAAAAATGTCTTGGAAAGGTTTTTCGTATAAACTTCCAGGTCGTGTGTATTTCCTTCTTTAACTTGACTAACCTTATGTTATACTTTTTTAGTCCGTTTGAATGGCAGTTGTCATATTTCACATGTCTTAGACTTTTTTTAAAATTAATATATAATGTATTATTTGTTTCAGGGGTAGAGGTTTGTGATTCATCAGTCTTCTATAATACCCAATGCTCATTATAACACATACCCTCCCCAGTGTCTATCACCCAGTTACCCATCCCTCCACCTGCCCTCCAGCAACCCTCAGTTTGTTTCCTATGATTAAGAGTCTCTTATGGTTTGTCTCCTAGACTTCTTAAACAAGGTACTTAGACTGTAAAGTTGATCCAGGGTGATGGGAAAACAAGTTGTGCATTCCGATATATACCTAGGTCAGTCGTTGAGCTTGTAGTGCCTTAATGATTAAAGTATGCAGAGCTGCTTGCCCCTCCAGTAAATGCATCTGCTTGCTGCGTTTTCTGTTTCTGCTTTTTAATTTTGTGTCATCATCTTTGTTTGTAAGAGTTTTTGCTCTCACTCTGGACAACTTTCAGTATATTTGCTGTAAGTAACCTATACACACCTAAATAATTTGCTGTTTTTGATTTATTGTGTGCTAGGAAATTAGGCAACCTAAGTTGCGGTAATTTGGGAAAATAAATGGTTTAAATAAAGGCATGGGTATCTTCTTGTTATTACTTTGTAACATTTTGTGGCAGCTGTTTGGATGATTGGAACATAAGCTCTGTGTTTGTTTGGTTTATTGCACTATCTTCAGTGCCTAGATTAATACCTGGCACGTGATTGGTACTACTGTTGAATTAATTACAGAGGCCTTATTTTCTGCCTCTGTGTTTAGGCATTCCCTTTAATTCAGCAAGTATTTATTGTGGAGTTTGGAGATGCTGGTTGGGATCAGACTGAAATATGGTAAACAACATAAAGGGACTTGGCCTTTATTTTAAAGAAAGTAGACTAATTTGTGCAGTGTGGAGGCTTGGTGGAGGCAGAAGTATATTTAGAATGTATTTTAATCTCAGATATGCTATTTCTCATTTAGTTTGGATTTTTTAAAAACATATCTTCCATATCTCCTTAACATGCTTATGCTTTTTTCTTCCTTCTTGACTAAATGAGATATTATTGATAGATGTTTTGATGTCTTTGTCTATTAATTCTATCATTTGTGTCATTTCTGGGTCTGTTTCTCTTGGTTAATTTTTTTCCCTCATTGTACATCATATATTTTTGCTTCTTGGTAATTTATGATTGGATGCCAGATGTGGAATTTATTCTACTGAAAGTGGGTTTTTTTTTTTTTT